AAGCCTTAATGCATATGTCAACACGAAGAGGAAGCGCCCATGGGATACTTGAGTTCATATTTTGCTTCTTTGTAACTCTTTGTGTTGTCATTATAAGCCTAGAAGGCAATTATAATTTGAACATGTTACTAAAATTTGTTTTGTTTCCTTTTGTTTAAAAAAATTTAAATCCCGCAAAAGTACTTGAAAACATTGCACTTGGATTTACATATCATGCATATCATCACGTAACAGGTAATTTCTAGACATGTTTTCTCATCTTCTTACTCTTTATTTCAGTAAAAGATGGCACTCGAACAAACTGTGAAAGAACTTCAAGCTCAGAATGCTCAGTTTCAGCAAATGTTTTTGGACTTAGCTAAGGGACAAGACGAATTGAAGACCCTCATCACAAAGGGGAATAAGAAGAAGACTAAAAGCTAGTAGTCTTTCTTAATATGGCCAGAAGATTCAAGGGTCCAGTCAGAAGGGCTCTAGATTTTGAGGTCCCCCTGAATGAAGACGATAACCAAGAAGAGGATGACAAGAGTGTGAAAGCTGAAGAGAATAACAACCTTGATTCTGGCCAAGATTATGATGAAGACTATTTTGCTGAACAGTATCCTCCCGCTAACGACAAATACAAACAACTGGAAGATTGTCTTAATGCTATGGAAATCCAGAAAGTGTCTGGGCTAGATTTTGAGGAGCCGGGTCTTATTTCGGGGGTTGTTATTCCTCACAAGTTCAAGGTCCCCTTTTTTGCAAAATATGATGGTGTTTCTTGTCCTAAGCTTCATCTGCAATCTTATGTTCGGAAGATTCATTTCCATACTACTGACAGAAAATTATGGGTTCACTTGACCATTATGAATGAATTATAAGCTTAAATCATTAAGGAATCCATATGTCTCTGATCAAAATACTTGAACTTCTTGATCCAACACACCTATCTTGTAAAAGAAGCAAACAATACAAACCCTTGCACATGCATGAGGTTAGTTATGTAAAGATGGACAATATTGATATCTTGATGCTATGCAATGATGGAAAGAGAGACGGGATCTTAGGTCAAAATTTAGGGTACAACAATGGGATAGTTGGTTTAAATTCCAATTTCATCCAGTATCTTCTTCAGTCAGATTCCTTCACAAATGCCTTGTGTCATGGACCTGAATTCAGCTTATTCACTGCTTCTGGCTACCACAGATTGTTTCTTGCTTCTCCAAGTAACCATGTTTCCTCACACAAAAGAGAAATAACCAGTAGTTGACTTTCTGTCTGATATACAACCAACCCAATCTGAGTTAGTGTATATTTCAATATCCCTATTTGAATTTTTCCTGAAATGAAGACCTCTACCCGATGTACCCTTAAGGTATTGTAGAATCTTGTTCACAACTTTCATGTGAGCTTCAGTAGGACTTGTCATGTAACGGCTTGCCATGCTCACGACAAATCTAATATCAGGTGGAGTATGAGTTAAGTAGATTAATTTCTCAACTATACTTTTGTATCTATCTTTGTTAGATTGAGGACTTTCTTTGGAGTTGCATCTGCTTATCGATTTCAATATGAGTGTTTGCTGCCTTACGTCCAAGCATTTTGGTTTCTTGGTGCAATTCTAGGGTGAATTTCCTTTGAGACACGTATATTCCCTCCTTTGTCCGAGATACTTCCATACCTAAGAAATACTTAAGTTTCCCTAAGTCTTTCACTTCAAACTCTCTAGCCAAGAGTTCCTTTAAGCGTTTAATTTGCTCATGATCATCTCATGTGATAACAATATCATCAACATACATAATGAATAAAGTTATCTTCCCTTCCAATGAGTGTTTGACAAACATAGTTGTGAGTATGAATAGTGAGGAATCACACTTACTTGTTTTGAAGCCAAATATGAGTAATTTTGGGTTATGTTTCTCAAACCAGACTCAAGGTGCTGGGAAAATAACACATATCATTTTTAAACTCTGAAATATCCTAAAAGCACACACTTAACTACTCGTACAATCAAATTATTACAACTAGGAGAAAATTCGCGAACAAAACAAGTGGAGTCTAACACTCGAAAAAGGAAAAAATATTCGGAGCCAATTGGAAATAAGAAAAAACACGTAGAATTCCGTTATTCCAATACTAAAGAAGGCATGTGTCTGATCAAATGATAGGCATTGTGCATTGTTCGAATTTGGTCTAAGCCGCATCAACTAGATGATGATGTTTTTGCTAAGCAACACCATTTTATTGTGTAGTGTATGGATAACTAGACTCATTTATGATATCATGAGAAGCTAAAAAGGATTTGAATGATGTGGATAAGTATACAATTTCCTTGACATTGTTACTTTGCAAAATTTGAATTATTTTCGTAAATTGAGTTTTTATCTTTGAACAAAATGCTTGAAATGCACTAAATAATTATGAGCAATCCTTCATTAACCATAAATCGCGATATAGTTGGAAGGTTATAATTTTGTTCTTAATAGACACATGACCTATAAATGATGTGTGGCTTGAAGTATAGATATGTGAGATATAGTTTTTCCAAAATATCCCTTGCACTCATTACTATTGGGCTTGCTGCGTATATATAAAAGATGGGTGATCCAAATTGATAGGTTTGTGATACAATAATAAAATTAGAGTTTGATTTAACTCATTCATACAAAACCAATTTGTAAAATGTGAAATGTCACTCTATATTAACTCATTGTAGTCTTTATCTTTAACCAACATGTGGTTTAGATTTTTCTGATAAAGAGTGTCTTCTTGAACATTATCCTTTTCTAAATGACAATCTATTTTATGTGTTTTTGTCTTTCCTATATTTTAGGTGACATCCATACGATACATGTTAGAAATGATAGAATGATATTTAAAAAAGTTTTTCTTTGCTCCAAGACTTTTAAATTGGCGTTAGACACTCATATACCACTCATAAAACATGTGTCACACAATTCTTACAAATGTTTTAAATAACATCTTTCATATATGGTTTGGCTTTAGGATCGACCTATTTATTTATTATCAGCATAGCCAAATCTACTCTGCATTATCCACTAGCATTAAGTTTTAGAGCGTTAACCACAACAATGACACTAGTAGGATTTTCGTTGATAGTGTCCAATATCTTTATGAAGAAGTAATATTCAAAGGTTTGATAAGGCATATCTAATGTGCTTAAAACATCATTGGGGTTGGATTCATGTCCGTGACAAGGCAAGAAAATAGATGCAACGATGGAACTTTGATAACTACTCAAGCACCCATATGGTTGGTCCTTATTTAACTATGATGTTAAGTTATGCATAAGTACGGATATGGTATCTAGTGCGGGTACTGATTCTGATATAAGATACAATATTTTAAAAAAAAATTAAGATGCGGATACGTTAATAAAAAAAAGAATTTTCTATAAAATTTATGAGTATATAATAAATTATTAGGTTCATAACAATATATCACTATAAAAGTTTTAAAAGATAAAAAATGATGTTAATATATAATAACAAAGATATTAAAATACTTAAATTTAGTATATTGGTAAATGAGAAAACCATAAATTTCACTAAAATTAGAATAATAAGAAAAAATGAAATACTAAGAATATAATATGTATACTCAGTACAGGTGCGTATTCGATACCAGTACTTCACCGTTTTAAAAATATTGATGCTTCAAATATGTAAGTAGTAGTGTGACACCATAGTAATTTCATGAACATCAAATTCATCTTTCTCTCATCACACAATATTTTACATTTCCATTCATGAAATGAAGGGAAAATCCATACTTTTATAACGTGTCGAGTGTCAAGTGTGTACAACCGAATATGTGTTTGGTTTTGTGATGGAAAAAGTGAATTGAAAGTAAAACAATTTTTTGTTTGGATAAATTTTTGTAAAAGTAAATTCAACGGTAAATTATTAGATAAAAATCAAATTTATCCTTAAAAGCTATAAATTTTAACTTTAACTATAATAAATTTTAAAAAACAGAATCAATTCTATTCAAGAGTAATCAAACATTAAAAAAATGAATTATATGCACCCTGAATTAATTCTAAATAGTCTAACCTTAAAATCAAATATACACTAATCCTATTACTTTCAATTGTAGAAGTAAATCTTTTTTCCACTTTCAATAGCAAACTTTCTAGATTTATATTTTTGACCGAAGACTTTTTGGATGCTATTATTATGCAGCTCCTTGGTGTAATCTATCCTCCATTTTATCAAATAAAATAAAGTTTGTTTTAAAATAATTGTTATTTTCATTTTTCAATATAATAATGATTATTATTTTTTCAATTGTATTATTTATTTTTTTATTCTGTACATTACATTCAATACATTAATAGATTTAATTTTGTAAAAGAGTAATATTTTATGACAATATTATTGAATTTCTTTATTTTAAAAGGGTTGAACTATTATACTATTAGTTTTCATTAAGAACCGGGTGCTATACTGCCATTGACTAGTGGTTTGGTTAGTCATAGAGTTAAGAACAGTGTGGTTGGTAGAGTTATAATCACAACTGTCCTCACCAACTGGTATTATTATACTGTATACACGTTCTACATACATATATATCAGTATGAAATGTTATTGGTCCTTATTTTCAATATATTTTCAGTTCATCATTATTTGTCTTTTTTTCAACTAGCTACATTAAAAAAACTAATCTCTATCCAAGTATTATTCAGAGATTCCAAGTATAAAATTGCACAATTGGGCAACATGTCAACAGTTGACTGTCTTAATCAAATACAGAAGCCCATTTTAATTATTAGCCAAAGTTTTTGATAGCTTGATAATACAATTCTATAAAGCTGACCTATATTCGGATTCGAAGTTTCTCTTCAACTTCATTTTTCATCACCAAACAAGTTGTTTACAATTTCACTCCTTTCATATTCATATATATCTATCTATATGATATATTTCTAGCTGTTTTTTTCTGCTACTGAATTTGAAACTTTTGTATTTTGTCATCATATCAAGTTATCAACAAGCATGAATAAAAGTTTCCTTAGTTTCGTCTTTCTTTTGCTCTTTGCAATCTTTTTCTTTTCCACCTTAGCTTTTGGAGCCACTCTCTCAAAAGATGAAGGTATATGTAAAATTGTAAATAGCACACATATATCAATATTATGTATACTTTATATAGATATTTAAATTTTTTTTTTCTTTTTTTTTTTTGGTTTTGTAGTGGAAGCTCTCAGAGATATTGCTAAGACACTTGGAAAGAAGAATTGGGATTTCAGTGTAGATCCATGTAGTGGAGGAAAAAATTGGACTTCTTCTGTTCAAGTGAAAGGAAGTGAAAATGCTGTCATATGCAATTGTACCTATGTCAATGCCACTGTTTGTCATGTGACTAACATGTAAGTCTCTTACAATTTTGTTTTAAATATATGTAAACTAAAAGAATATTCAATTATCCATAGAAGTTTTAATAAGTATAACAAAATTAGTTTTTGGTGGATTTTTAATTTTGATAGTGTATCTAATGTTTTGTGATGACTGATGAGATTAAAAACACTCTTATTTTTTTGTGCTAATTAGAGAAAGCTTATAGTTAATAGTTATGATAAAAAGAATTAGTAATTGAAGGGTAAGTTTTTTTATATTCATATTCTCAGTAAATATGGTAAAGTGGACCCGACAGCTGTGTTTTGTCTGAACCTTATTTTAGGTTTGCATTATCTATTATGTTCGTAATGTTGGGAGAAAATATTAGGAACATCGATACATAACGTAGGAATAAATACTCTTGTAAGATATACACCACTTATCCACCTAAAATCTTAAGATGATAAGTGAGTGAGTTCTCCTACTTATATATATATATATATATGTTTAAGTCTCCACATTCCTATTAAATGTGAGACTATTTTTCCATTTACTCACACTTACTATATTATTCTAACACGTAACACTTAATTTTTTCACTTTTATATTTTAAAATTGTAGGGTCTGCTTTATTCCACCGTATTTTCTAATATGTCGGTTCCACTCCGTTTATTTTATGATGGATATGCCACTTGGCACCTCTAATAAGTTACTAAAATTATTTGAAGAAGTATTCTTATTTTTATTAAAAGAATTGTGAAAGCAATCACATGTTGGTTTTGTCAACTTTGCAACGCTGCTTTCATGCTGTTTTATGAAAACGTACACGATATCTGTTCTTTATTTCCAACTTTTCCTTGTATCTACTTTTTTTGTTTGTTTGTTATTTTATATTTTGGCTTTATGCGTCCAATGGTATTTTATTATTTATGTACTTTTCACAACTTGTATATTGTATATTGGGTAATACGTATGCCTGCTTGGTCTATTCTCCCACTTGCATAAATAGATATGATAATAAATTGTAAAATCGAATAATCATGAAGGATAATATATTGTACTTAAATTGTTATTATTAATTTAATTGACTTATTAAAAAAATGTATTTATGTAGACTTTTGAAAAGTCAAAATCTCCCAGGCACTCTTCCATCAGAATTGGTCAGGTTGCCTTATCTTCAAGAATTGTAAGTTTCATTTATTCAATTATTACTTCTACATATCTATGTATTTTTATTTTATTTTTTACTACACATTTCCATGTATTTTAGTTGAATAAAAATAAAATTCTGATATTGATGTATATTACTCTCAACCTATTACAGTGACGTTTCCCGCAATTATTTGAACGGTACAATTCCTAAAGAATGGGGGTCCATGAATCTCATTAACATGTATGATTTATTTGTTTTTTCATCTTATTTTTTTCTAAAGTTTCTATAACTGTTTTCTTGTAGTAACTACATGTATTAAAGATGATGAGTAATAATAATAACATGTTTTTTAACCCTTTACAGCACTCTCCTTGGAAATCGATTAACTGGTTCAATACCAACAGCTATAACAAACATATCCACTCTACAAAGTTTGTGAGTTTCTAATATCTATGGTCTTATAAATAAGAGAAAATTTATTTTTTAATGTATTCGATTTGTGTAATAGATTATATATATTAATTAATCAATGATTCTAAAAACTTTCCCTTAAGTTTTTAATTAAACTTTATAGGCATTTTGAAAAGTGTTTGTAATACATAGTATTAACATGAATTTGACAGGGTATTAGAATCCAATCAATTTTCTGGAAATCTTCCTCCTGGACTTGACAAACTTACCCAAATTCAAAGATTGTAAGCACTTTATTTTATTATATTTTCATTTTTTCGGTCACTAAATTTGTTACTAAATCTAATATAATGAGATTACGGACGGATTTCATTTTTTCGGGTCTATAATTTTTGTTGTTGTTAATTATATTTAGGTTACTCTCTTCCAACAATTTCAATGGAGAATTACCTGCTACATTGGCCAAACTCACCACATTAGAAGACATGTAAGATACACATTTTTTCATCGAACCATTTAGTAATAACTAAATTATAGAACATTGGTTTTGAACATATAGTAACTTTTCTTTGTTTCATACACAATTTTACTATGTATAGTCGACTCGGAGACAATCAATTCACTGGAAAGATACCCGATTTTATTCGAAGCTGGACAAGCCTCAAGAAACTGTAACAACTTTCTTTTTATACTTTATTTTATCTAGTTTAACTCTTTTTTATCAATTGCTTGAATTTAACTAGTCTTTTTTATCGGCTTTATTTCGACAGAGTGATTGAAGGAAGTGGATTAAGCGGGCCAATTCCTTCTGGAATTTCGGTTTTGGAAAAATTAACTGACTTGTATGTATGCTATTATATTTGTATTATTTATATTTTATAGTAAACAATGTTTGAAAATTAACTTTTTTTTATTTTATTTTACTAATTAGTTGTGAAATTGATGTGAAATCAATGCAGGAGAATCAGTGATTTAAATGGATTTGAACATTCACTTTTTCCGGAACTTAGTAACATGACATTGAAAACATTGTGAGTTGATTGCACTCACTCTTTCAGAAATGGATAGCATAAAAAAAGTTACTCATAATAATACATTGTTTATCTATCTTTCCTTTTTCACAGGATTCTAAGGAATTGCAACATCAATGGGACACTACCTCAGTATCTTGGGTCAATGACTAGTCTAAAAAACTTGTAATTACGTACTTTCTCAATTTTGTTTGATTTCAATTCATGTTAAATTCTCTTTTGTCGTTCTCGTATGCGATTTTTAAACTCGTCGTTGTTATGGTTTTGCAGAGATCTTAGCTTTAACAAATTGAGTGGACCAATTCCAAATAACTATGATCCCCTAAGAAAAGTTGATTACATGTAAGAATAGCTCTTATCCCACAAGTGCTATTAAATTCTATATTTTGAATTATTTACATTATATTATTTTTATGCAGATATTTAACTGGAAACCTTCTCACTGGACCAGTTCCTTCATGGACACAGAAAGCTGACAACATGTGAGTTTGCTTTGAAATACTAATTATATACTTTGTTGATATGTTCCTTTGGATTTGGAGTTCCTAAATGTTTCTGGTCTGGTCGAACTCAAGTCTGCGCTACTGCTACGAGGTATTGTCCGTTTTGGGTACGAGAGCCCTCACAGTTTTGTCCAGTAGAAAAGACGCTTCGTTGAATTGAGGTGTATGAGTGTTATATATAAACTAATTTTAGTCTCGATTTTCAAGCAATGTGAAACTCTTTTGACCGCTATTTATCTTTATTTGACTTATTATAAGATTCTGAATCAAATTTTATAACTTGTATATAGAGATATTTCATACAATAACTTCAGCCAAAACCAAGGGACTCAGACATGTCAAGATGGAAATGTGTAAGAATTCTCGGCTTTATATACATATATTTTCCGAAATTAAAAACCTATTTGATTCACAACCATTTCTTATATATCACAGGAACTTGTTTTCTAGTTCTTCGACCCGCAATGACTCGTAAGTTTTCTGTCATAAAATGCTGCATTATTTTTTCATTGTATATGACCTTTTCGTGTTAACTTATTTTGTCTTCTGTGATTATCCTAGAGGAAAGGTTTCTTGTTTGACAAGCTTTGTCTGTCCTAAAAGTAAGTTTCTTTGTGGCGAAATGCCTATTGACTTCTAAGATTTCACTTTTGCTTTAACATTTTCAAGTAATGTTTCATATCAAAGGCATGCAAGGAATTCGTAAATGAAATTTCACACTTTATTTTGCTTGTGCCAGCATCGTATGCTCTACATATAAACTGTGGTGGAAAGCCAGTAACGGTCAATGGAAGCTCATATGATGATGATGGAGATGCAGCAGGACCAGCTAGATTCCACCAGAGTGGAACAAAAAATTGGGCATTTAGCACCACGGGTAACTTCATGGATAATGACGGTGGAGACTATTATACATGGTCGAATAAATCTGCGCTTTCTATGGCCAATGCTGAACTTTTCATGACTGCACGAGTTTCTCCCACGTCTTTGACTTATTACGGATTTTGCCTGGCAAATGGAAACTACACAGTTAATCTACATTTTGCCGAAATCATGTTTACCGATGATCAAACATATAACAGCCTAGGAAGACGTGTTTTCGATATCTATATTCAGGTACATGGCTAACATTTATCCAGACTATTGACATCACTATTTGAAATCATTGTGAAGTATTAACATTTGAGTTGAAATGTTATATAGGGAAATTTGGTGCAAAAGGACTTTGATATTGCAAAAAAAGCAGGAGGAATTGGTAAGGCAGTAACAATACCATTTACTGCTGTTGTGGTGAATAGTACTTTGGAGATTCGCTTATATTGGGCTGGAAAAGGGACAACTAGTATACCCTTTAGATCAGTTTATGGTCCTCTTATATCAGCTATATCTGTTGAATCCGGTAAGTTATACTTCCTAAATTCATAGTTTTAGATTGCAGTTGCGGTCGCAGTTGCAGTAAATTGTGTTTAAATGTGAAAAAATAAGACTAATGAGGCTGGAATTGCAGTTACGATTCCATGCGCCGCAGTTACTGTTGCAGATTTGCAGATTTCAGTTTATAACCATCTTCATATTCTTGCAGATTTTCCACCTCCTCCTGAAAACGGAAGCAGCAGCATATCTACAGGAGCTGTGGTTGGAATTGTGGCGGCAGTAGCCATTGTTATCATTCTATTAGTTTGTATACTTCGGTGGAAAGGCTGTTTTGGAAAGAAAAGCTCTTTAGAAAAAGGTAATCAAAAGGAATAAATCATGGACTTTTCATGTGTTATTAAATTTTGAGACAGTTAACTTTATTGAGAGAAGAAAGTTGCATGTTTATAACGTGGAGTTATTTTAGTATTAAGATACATCTGATTTTTATTTTGCAGAGGTGAAGGGTTTAGACCTACAAATGAGTTTATTTAACCTAAGACAGATCAAAGGAGCAACAAATAACTTTGATATTTCCAATAAAATTGGAGAAGGAGGATTTGGTCCAGTATACAAGGTAGTAACATAATTATCTTGATTGTCACATATTTTAGATTCATTGAATAGACGATGAACCTGGTTTATATATTGTCCAGGGATAAGAGTATAATTTTAGATATTGTTTAGTAAAAATTCTTAAACTATATATAACATTTTTCATACTACAGGGATGTCTATCAGATGGAACATTGATAGCAGTAAAGCAACTTTCTTCTAAATCAAAGCAAGGGAATCGCGAGTTTTTAAATGAAATTGGCATGATTTCGGCTTTGCAGCACCCTAATCTTGTTAAACTCTATGGATGTTGTGTGGAGGGAGATCAATTAATGCTAATATATGAATATTTGGAAAATAATAGTCTTGCCCGCGCTTTATTTGGTAATTTTTCTATATTTTGAATGTCATTTATATTCCACTTTTTTTTTTTAAATTATGACTAAATGGTGCCATTTTTTTTATATCTACATTCTTCACAAATAAAGGGACTCCAGAACAGCAAATAAGATTGGATTGGCCAACAAGATACAAGATTTGTGTTGGTATTGCTAGAGGTTTAGCATATCTACATGAAGAATCAAGATTGAAAGTTGTTCATAGAGACATCAAAGCAACTAATGTGTTGCTTGATAAAGATTTGATTCCGAAGATATCTGATTTTGGTTTGGCCAAGCTTGATGAAGAAGAGAACACTCACATCAGCACTCGAATAGCTGGGACATAGTAAGTTCAATACTTGAGTTTATTTTGTCCAAATTTTATCAAGAAATAGTGCCATACAATTCAAATTCTAATAATATATTTTTTAATTATGTAGTGGATATATGGCTCCAGAATATGCCATGCATGGTTATTTGACCGATAAAGCAGATGTTTATAGTTTTGGAATCGTCGCATTGGAAATCTTACACGGCAGTAACAATACCACTCTTCGACAAAAAGAAGAAGCATTCCATCTTCTTGATTGGGTAAGTATTTTGTGGTTGTGTGGTGTCATGCCAATTGTCTTTAGGAGTCATTACCAATATATTCATGCACGAGATCTTAAGTAGGATCAGTTATTTTGTGAAATATCGTAAAACTCGAAAAATGCAAAAGTAGTATCTAATTATTTCATTGTTCTTAACTTCAAATTTTGGAATCAACTTTTTATGTTATACTATTTTATTTACCAGGCACATATCTTGAAAGAAGAAGGTAACTTACTAGAGCTAGTTGATAAAAGACTGGGTTCAAATTTCAAGAAAGATGAAGCAATATTGATGATAAATGTGGCACTCTTATGCACTAATGTGACTTCATCCCTAAGGCCTGCAATGTCTTCAGTGGTAAGCATGCTAGAAGGTAGAATTGAAATTCAAGAACTGGTTTTAGAGTCAAATGAGGTATTGGACGAGAAGAAAATGGAAGCAATGCGAAAATATTATCAAGATCATAGTATATCAATGGAAGGGCCATGGACTGCTACAACTTCTTCTTCAGTAGCCACTGATCTTTATCCTGTACAACTAGATAGTTCTTACTTGGAGAAAAGAGTTTGAAGACTATATATGGAGATGAATTGTCTCTAGTTTTATCAATTATCTTGCATTGAGTTGGTTTGTAAAATTTTTTTTGTTCTTCTTTATTCCTTTTAAAGTTGATTGTAATATTATCACTATGATTTGTTTTTGCTCTTGGAATGTAATAATTTTTCTTTTGAAAATTCAGAGTAACTTGTGACGGCTAAATTTGAAAATGGGACTTTATAAAATCTTATGTAAAAGTTGGAAATAGTTTGAGGAAACATCATTTTTTTTCTTTAAGTCAAAAGGTTTCACAAACAATCAAATACTTTTTTTTTTTCAAATTAAAAATCAACTTCAACACAAAACAAATTAGATATTTGATGTGATTTTATTCCGATTAAAATCGGCATTGATGTGTTGATAATTTATTAACTATTTGAGCTTAATTACTTGATCAGTTTTAAATCTATTTTATTAACACAATTTTATATTAAAATAATTTTATTTTATAATCTCAAGTGATTGAGTTTATTTTCCAAATTGATAGTCATGTGGCCTCAACAGTAGAATCATTCTGTGTGGATGGGAAGCATGGAATGGTTTCCATGCTCAGGAGATAATGGGTGCACAAGAGGATGAGCGACAACATCATTTTTAAAAGGTCGTATCTTCTAATATACTAGAAACATTATATTGCTTGCCAATTATGACATGGAGGGGTAAGCAATTTATTATTATTATTATTATTTTAATAATTTTTTATTTTTAATTACTTTATTCTTTTATAATGTATGCGTTAAAATATTTTCAAAAGTGCAATACGAAGAAAGAATTTAGGTTGCATCAAATAAAAATTGATTAAATATGTTTCACACTATCTTTCACATGTGATACACGATTGGTTGGATGATTTTGGTTTAACTTCACTCAAATGAACGAGTTTAAAGATGGTTGATTTCGACCTTATTATTTTATCATTTATGGATATATGACATCTAGAGACATTGTTATTGTTAGGTTTGGATTTCCTTCTTACGTGGAGAAAGATTCAAATATGAATAGTCTATTTGTCTCACTTATATAAGTGAAGAATGTCAATTTAGGGTTAAGAGAGATAAAGAAAAATAAGGATTTAAAAAGAGAGAAAAGAGGAGATAAACTCATTCCCGTTTTTCTACAGCAGTCTCACTAAAACGACAATCCTTGATTCGTTCACCGTTGAATAAGCTAAAATTTGGTGGGCTTGTCCGCAACACATATATCTAACTTTCGACCATTGGGATCTTCAAAATAAGGTTTGAGTTAAGAGATATGGGCTTCGCACTGAAGCTGCAGATTTTAGAAAATTTCCATCTTTTCTATTCTTATTTGTGAGTTAGTTTACTTTGTGATTTGCGGTTGTTATCACTATTTTGTGAATCACTTTAAGACTCTCTTGTAACCTCAATTGATTATAGTGAAGCTATTTTCTTTGGTCTGAACGACTCGTGGTTTTTACTCTCATATTGAGGGAGTTTTCACGTTTAAAATATCAATGTTCTTTTGTGCCTTTTATTATCCGATTATCGTCTTATATTTGTTGTTGATCCTCAAAGTTCCTATAAGTTTGGGAAATATTATATCTGTTGCATATTGTTCTGTTATTTTGTCTTAATTTTCCATCAGAGTGGTATCGGAACCTGATTAAGGGTTATTTTACTTGTTTGAATGATGGAGTCAAATACAAAGATAAAGATGGTACTCTTGAATGGTTCTAATTACTATTTATGGAAGGGCAAGATGAAAGACTTACTATTTGTAAATAAATTACTTTATCGGTTTTTGGTTCCGTAAAGCCGAATTCTGTGTCTGATGAAGAATGGAAGTTTGAACATCAACATGTATGTGGTTTTATTCGATAATATGTAGAAGTTAATATTTATAATCACATTGCTAATGAGACACATGCAAAAACTTTGTGGGAGAAGATAAAGTCCTTGTATGCCTCTAAATCAGGGAATGATAAATTATTCTTGTTGAATAACTTCATAAGTTTGAAGTATAAGGATGGGACTTCTTTCAGATAACTTAAGTGAATTTCAAGGGCTCATTGATCAAATGTCAGGAATGAGTATCAAATTTGATGATGAACTTTTGGGACTATTTCTATTGTTATCTTTACCAGATTCTTGGGAGACGTTTCGGGTTTCTATTACAAGTTCTGCTCCTAAAGGTGTTGTTTCTTTGGAAACGACTAAGGGTGATATTCTTAATAACGAGATAAGAAGGAAGGCACAAGATTCTTCATCTCAATCCGAGGTACTTGTCACCGAAAATAGGGGAGAAGTCATAAAAAGGAACTGAAGGGTGGTAGAGAGAATAACATAAGCAAGTCCAAGCCACGATACAAGAATCTGGAGTGTAATTATTATCACAAAACAAGACACATACAAAAGTATTGTTATCAGTGGAAAAGGGATAACAAAGGCAAGAAAGGTAACTCTAAACAAAGAGATCATGATGATAATGATGATGATCATGTTACTACTGCTACTAGTAATGATCTTGTTATTCTATGTGATCATGAGTATATTAATCTTATATCAGAAGAGAGCATGTTGATAGTTGACAGTGGTGCTACATTGCATGTTAAACTAAGGAAGGATTTCTTCACATCTTATACTTCTGGTGACTTTGGAGTGTTGAAGATGGGTAATGATGGTGTATCTAAGGTAATTGGTGTTGGTAATGTTTGCTTGCAAACCAACATGGGAATGCAATTGTTGCTTAGAGGTATCCAACATGCTCCATATGTCCGCTTTAATTTGATCTCTATGCATATGCTTGATGATTGTGGTTATGACAATCACTTTGGTTCTGGAAAATGGAAACTCAACAAAGGTAATTTGGTTGTGGCTAGAGGGGAAAAACTTTCTAAATTGTATTGGACAAAATCTTTGGTTGCTAGGGACAGCGTGAATGATATCGACATGGAAGCATCTTTGTGGCACCGAAGGCTTGGTCATATTAGTGAAAAGGGGATGAATGTTTTAGCCTAAAAGGATGTTCTTTAGGGTTTAAAGAATGCATATTTGGAGAAGTTTTCTCATTGCATAGCTGGTAAACAGAATATAGTATCTTTTGAGACATCCTTCCTCAAGGAAGTCAAAGTTACTTCAATTAGTACATTCTGATGTTTATGGGCCATTAAAGGTAAAATATTTTAGTGGTGCAATTTATTTTGTTACTTTTATTGATGATTGTTCAAGGAAACTACAGGTTTATGCCTTGAAGACAAAAGATCAAGTGTTGGAGAAGTTCAAATAATTTCATGCTTCGGTAGAGAAGAAAACAAGTGAGAAGATGAAATGTGTTCATTATGATAATGGTGGTGAGTATTGTGGACCATTTGATTCCTATTGCAAGCAACACGGTATTGCACATGAAAAGACTCCTCCTGAAACTCCTCAATTAAATGGGTTACCAGAGAGGATGAATCAAACACTAATTTAGAGAGTAAGGTGTATGCTCTCTGAAGCTAAATTGCCAAATAATTATTGGGGTTAGGAACTTTACACGGCGGTGAATGTTCTTAATCTCACTCCTATTGTTGCTTTGAACAGTGAAGTTCCAGACAAGATTTGGTTTGGAAAGAATGTCAAGTATGATCATTTGAGAGTATTTGGTTGTAAGGCTTTTGTGCATATTCCAAAGGATGAAAGATCCAAGTTGGATGTAAAGTCAAAACGATGTATATTCATCGGATATGGGCAAGATGAGTTTTGTTACAAGTTGTATGATCTTGTAGGGAAGAAGCTTATCTGAAGCCGCAATGTAGTTGTGATACGGTGGGAGAATTGAATTGAGGTTTTGCGTTTGTGTTTGCAAATGTTTCGGTTTAGCAAGAGTCGTCACCGACTTTTTATTTTATCCTAAGGAAAGGTCAAAAAGCACAGGAAAGACCTTTGAGATGTTTTCTTGGGTTCAGGGAGTAGATTATGAAAAGGGAAGGTGCAAGCACCCTTTTCATCCATGGTTATCCACGGGCTCTTAGTTACATGTTTAGATCACTTGCTTTGCTTTTCCAATTGTTTGAAATGGTGCTTTGTGTGTGGTTTTGAAAGATGTTTTGAAAAGAGGCCATCGTTGTGGCAACCTTTGTAATGATTCTTGTTTGAATGTATACAAAGGTGTTTTTGTCTTTTGAAAAGGTTTCAATGTTTGGAAGTTTGATTTGGGAAATTGTTTTGGAATTGTGTTGTGAAGTGTGTTTGAAAGTAGAAAGGATGTTTTTTGCAAGCTTTTTGATCAAGTAACTAAGAGCTATCTACCCTATTTTACTCAAAGATCTTTCTTATGTTTTTAACCCTTTTGACAGTGTTGTTTCACCATTGCATTTGGTGAACAACCTTGTGTTAGGATGTTAGACGGGACAGGCGTGGATCATCGTACAAACCATGATAGCAATTGTGTCAAGTATCTTTGGCAATTTTCTTTGAGGGACTTGATCATTTTTGTTTAGGCAACCAAGATATCGTCATCGAGGGACTATGATCTTTTGTTTTGTTTTTGTTTTGCCAAAGTACCCAACATGCATAACATGACCCATTTTTTAAGGCAACAAGTGGATTGTAACCCTAGGGGTGCAAGTGTGCATTGTGTTTGATTTTCATGCATTTTTGTCTTTGATTAGGTCAAACTATTTGTTGATTTGAATTTTTGCATACAAACCCTAATTCTCTAATCATGGAATAATTGAAAGCGTAAAGTGCGGGAATTAAAATTCTAAGCTATTACAACATGATTATGGGGATGGGGGTACAATCTTTGAATGGGGGTGTATTTGACAAGAAATATAAACCCTAATTTACTATTACATCCAAATTAAATTTAATTGCATGAATAATAAATGGATAATATTTAGATAAACAAAATAAATAAATATATCAAAGGAAATGGAATATGCAAAAAAGGTTTTTTGTTTGTTTGTGTATGTAAAAGTGTTTAATGTAAAAAAGTATAAAAGAATAAAATAAAAAAAGATTAATTTTATT